TTGAACCATGATCTTCAGATCCCAGCCTCCAGAGTAGCTGGGATTACAGGTGTGTGCCACCAGCACCAGCCCTTGCTGTGCTCTCAAATGCTCCCATGAAGTAAGACTTCCCAAATGCAAATTAATACAACGCAGTGCATTATATTTGTGAGGTGAATGTTAAACCAAGCTCACAAATAGTTCCAAGTGTTTCCTGATCTTTGGCAGGTATTAAATACCCTTCCTGTTTTTTTTTTTTTTTAACATTGTTTCATTCGACCAGCAGAGGAGCACTTGAGTGCTGTGTAACACTATAATGGTAGTTGGCTGTAACAAGGAGCACTTGAGTGCTGTGTAACACTGTAATGGTTGGGTTGTCCAGCGGCCTTGTAGTATCCTGAGTGTGTGTGAGCACAGGTGCATGCCACTGTACAGTGACTACAGGATTGCCTTATGCAGCTCCCCTGGTCTCAAGTGATAGACATTATATACAGTCAGTGTGGAAGAGGCTATGAAATTCTGCCCTGCTTCTACTTGTTTAGCCAGTGTGGTCGTTGTTTTAATTCTTCCACTAATGCGGATGGCCTTTTTTGGTTTATTTAAAAATTTTCACCATCTTGCCAAAGAACAGCAAAAAACTGCAGTTGGACCAGGTGCTGGTTGCTCACATCTGTAATCCCAGCTACTCAGGAGGCTGAGATCTGAGGATCAAGATTCTAAGACAGCCTGGGCAGGAAAAGTCCTTGAGACTTTGATCTCCAATTAATCAGCAAAAAAGACAAAAGTGGAGCTGTGGCTCAAGTGGTAAAGCACCAGCTTTAACTGAAAATGCTAAGGAAAGGGCATAGGCCCTGAGTTCAAGCCCTACTATAGGTATGTGTACACACACACACACACACACACACACACACACACACACACACTCACTAAAATAGCAGTTGATGAAGCCAAAATATAAACATACATATCTCCAAAAGACAAGTGTGTTAGATACTGAAAAAAAACCAAAAACCATAAAACATCAAAGGACAGAAAGTTAATTCGGGTAAGGAGAGGCAAACATTAGCCTTAGATTTATTTTCTCCCTGTCGTAGCCTATCAGTTACATTTTCTCTTTTTTCTTTCTTTCTTTCTTTCTTTCTTTTTTTGGTCTGTCGTGGGGCCTGAGCACTGTCCCTCAGCTCTTCAGCTCAAGGCTAGCGCTCTACCACTGGGCTACCTTCCCAGTCCCAGTTACATTTTTCTTTAACAAAATGTATAGTAATGACCAAATCTGTCTTCTGATAATACAGAGCTGCCTCCTGGGTATTACAGGCGTATGTGACCATGTGTGACTGCATCACAGCTCTGCGTGCTCTCAGCTGATCCACCACCAGCCGAGCCACCGTCACCAGTGCACTCTAGCCCTCATTGTTTTCAGTAGATTGTTGTCTATGAGGCCATTTAGAAAAAGGGGATTTCTGTTACCTTCACTTATTCCTTCTCTAATATCCTTTTATGTATTTTCAGTACCCTTTATCTTTTTCAACCTCTGATTTTCCTTCTCTCTGAAACACTTCTCGTAACACTTCTTGTGAGGCAGTTCTACTGACAATACATTTTCTTACCTTTTGTCTAAGAAGTCATTATTTCTTTTATACATTTGTGTGTGTATATGTGCATGTACGCGCCAGTCCTGGAGCTTGAACTCAGGGCGCAGGTGCTGTGTATGAGCTTTTATGTACCTCTCAAGGTTAGTGCTCTACTATTTGAGCCTCAGCTCTACTTCCACTGGTTAATTGGAGATAAGAGTCTCAGGGACTTCCTTGCCTGGGCTGGCTTCGAACCATGATCCTCAGATCTTAGCCTCCTGAGAATCTAGGATTACAGGCATTAACCACTGGCATCCAGCTTTTGTCCAGCTTATTTCTCCTACTCTTTTGAAGGTTATTCCATGGTTAAATATCTGTGTAGTGCGATTTTCTTGCAGTACTTTTTTCATTCTTCGTGTGTGTGTGTGTGTGTGTGTGTGTGTGTGTGATTTCTGAAGTGGTTCAATACCATTTTCCTTCTTGCCCTGGTATTTTTTTTAATTTGACATATTTCAAGATTTTTCCTTTTTGTCTTCAGTTTTCTGCAGTTTGATGTTGATGTGTTAGATAGATTTTCTTTTTTGATATTTATTCTTTCTGATCTCTGAGCGTTTGTGATCTACAAATTGGTATGTCATTAAATCTGTACAATTTTCATCCATTATTATGTCAGGCAGTTGCTCTGTTCCTTTCTTCTCTCTCTGTGTTTCATGTTCTCATTGTCCCTGAGTTCTTCACTATTCACTGTTTCTTCTACCTTTCTAATTCTCTTGATATTTCAGTTTGGGGAGTTTGCATTGACATTTTTTAAAGCTTATGTATTCTTCTTCCCTTGTGTCTGGTGTGCTGATGATTCCGTCAAAGGCAATCTTTAGGCCTGTTTCTGTGACTTGGATTTTTAGCATTTCCTTTTGGTTCTTAGATTTTCCATCCCTGTTAACATTACCCATATGTTCCTGCATGCTGTCCATTTTTCCATTAGAGTGTTTAGCATATTAATCATAGTTATTTTAAGTTCAAAGTCTGATTACTCCGAAGTTTCTGCCATGTCCCAATCTTGTTGTGATTGTGGTGGTGTCTTTTGGACTTCCTCCCTGTCCTGTCGCGTGCTTTGCACTATTGTTAAAAGCTGAACACAGCGTCGGGGGTAAAAAGAGCTGAGGTAGACATATCTTTGGGATGATGGTGGTGTTTGTTTGTCTGGCTGAGGGTTAGGTTGTGTTTGCTGTTGGCCTTTTCTATGGAGTCAGAGGATAGAATTACTCCCTGTCCTCAGTATCAACCTTACAGATGTCGGGTTGTTGTATTGTGGGGTGTTGAAGGCTTGTAAATTGACATTCCCAGATTGCTTGTAATCCAGGAGGCGGAGAAAGTGACAATCAGGTGTTGGAGAATGATTGAATTATTTTTTATGGTTAGATTTCAGTCTTCTAGTGAGCTGGAAGTGAGTATGGTCTTTCCTGTATTAAAAGGTAGAAGAGGCCAGGTGCTGGTGGCTCACACCTGTAATCCTAGCCACTCAGGAGGCTAAGATCTGAGGAATGCAGTTCAAGGCCAGCCTGGGCAGGAGAGTCCATGAGACTCTTAGCTCTCAGTAACTACCAAAAAGCTGGATATGGAGCTATGGCTCACGTGGTAGAGCACCAGCCTTGAGCAAAGAAGCTCAGAGACAGGGCTCTGCCCTGAGGTCAAGCCGCAGAAATGGTACACATATGAAAAAGGTAGATTTTTCCCTTCTCAAGTTTAGATTTTGGTAAGACTGTGTTAAATGAGGTTCTGATAAATATATAACTACTAGTCAGATAGTGGAGAGATGTTGGTAAGTGGAGGAAAGGGGGAGTTTCAGGACAGAAGAAGTCGGTGGAGCCCTGGGAGCGGTGAGTGGTGTGGGAAGGCCTGGGAAGGTTGTGGGTGTGAGCTGTGGTCTGTTGACACAGCCAGAAAACCCAGCTCCTCACCTGTAGCCTTGGAGAGGCATGGCAGAGTGAAATGTAATAGGAATAGACGGGGTTCTTAACTTTCAGATAACCTCAGGAAACAGATTCCTGTCAGCTGATACAAAATGAAAATGGGAACAATTTTACTTGATTTGGCACTGTGGAAATTAGTCATTTAAATATATTAGGATGTATTCGTGACTAGATTTCAGTCTTCTCATGAGCCATATGTGTGTCTGTCTGTCTGTCTATCTATCTATCTATGACAGTAGTGGGGACTAAACTCCTGGCCTTGTACCTGCTAAGCAGATAGTTTACCCTCACGCCACATCCCCAGTCCCCTCCACCCTTTGAGTTTTAGTTACTGTTAAATAGTGTCTTTGTTTATACCCAAGCCATCCAGGATTGCAGTTCTCCTACTAACCTCCCCTGCAGCTAGAATGAAGCGTGCACACTACCACACAGCTTTTTTTCATTAGTTGAGATGGGGTCACATAAACATTTTTGTTCTGGCTGGTCTTGAACCACAGTTCCTACTTACCCTACCAAGTTGCTGGGATTACAGGGGTTACTTACCCGGTCCAGCTTCCAGGATCATTGTATCTATCATTTTATTGATGAAAAATACTTTATTTTAGGAAGAAACCTCTTACCAATCATGGAATGTTCTTTTTGGCGCCAGCATTGGATCTTGAGCTCAGAGCCTTGTGCACTCATTTGTGCTTTCTACTCATGTTTGGCACTCCAGTACTGAAGCCTCTTTACTTCTGGAATGTTCGTTTCATTTATGAAATAATACTTGGTTTTCAGGGTTTTTGCTGAAAATGCAAGTTATAGGTTAAGGTAGCAGATCGTTTTACAGTTTTTAAAATATATTACTAGGGCTGGGAATGTGGCTTCATGGTAGAGTGCTTGCCTACCATGCATAAGTCCCAGGTTCAATTCTTCAGTACCACATAAACAGAAAAAGCTAAAAGTGGCACTGTGGCTCAAATGGTAATACAGTAGCCTTGAGCAAATGAAGCTCAGGGACAGTGCCCAGGCCTGAGATCAAGCCCCAGGACTGGCAAAAAAGAATTATTAAAAATTAGGAGCAGTAAGGAACCTGGAAGCAGTCTCTCAGCTTAGGTTTCAGCTAGAACAGCCTAGAAAGAAGAGCATTTCTGAGGCTCCTCAGGATTTTACAAAATGTTTTCACTTCTTATTTGGTGTCTACTTCTCCTTGGGTACTGGGCATTGAACCTGGAGCCCATATCATTCAGCTAAAGCCCTGTTTGTGTCATCTATAGAAGGCACAGTTTGAAAGTCCCTAAAAGTGCTACTTGATGGCAGTTATTTTGCCTTTGTTTCAAGGAACTATTAGTTGCTTTTACAGAATGAGTCTACACGTGAAGAGCAGTCCTTCAAGCATTTATGCAAATACCATCCCAACGGATGTGAGTTTTGTAACCACAGTAAACCATCCGCATACACCTAATACTTCTGTAAAGAAACATGAACTCCATGACGTAAGATGCACGTCTCCAGTTCTGAGGAATGCTCTGACTTGGAGTTTGCTGGCTTTGAGAATAAGGAGCTGATGGTATTGTCTTTCCAGTCACCCCAAGTCAAGCAGGGCACAGCTGGCCTGCTGCAGGGAAAACTGGGGGATTACTTAAAAACAAAATGTATACATCTCCCCAACCTTTCATCTTGTGTCTTTTGTTTCATTTTCAGAAAGTTTTTTTTTTTTTTTAGAACACCTTATATATGTTGGATTTAAGGCCTGGAATATTGCATTTATATACAAACTAAAGTATATTGCTTCCTATTTGTTTCATATAATGCTGGAAATTGGTGCTGTTAAGATTCAGTGCATTGACCGTATGATGCCTATTATTTGAAGGAAAAATGTCTTGGATTTGTCTTTTGTAGCCTTATCAAGGATACTTCATCTCTTTATCTGGTGAGCTGGTGTAATGTACTTGGCAAATATTGCCTTTGCTGGTTGGGAGAATGGATCTTGGGCCTGCAGTCCTGTCTTCGCTGACGATGTGACAGATCCCTCTGCCTCTGCTTTTGCAGTGACTGCCATATTTCTTCTGGACTGGGGGGGTTAAAATTCATGAGCCTTGCTCTTCTTTCTGGGTACCACAGAGTCCACCAAGTCCTGCTGCTTTCTCTATGTGGGTGGGACGCAGACATGACTCACACAGCTCCTATGGGGAGTGCTGCATGCACTGCACTTGTGATGCGAGAGAGCTCTGCTAGCTTCCAGGACAGGGACGCTGAGCCAGCATCTCCTGCCTTCTGCGTGGCTGCACATGCCCACTTCTGTAGGCTCAGACAGAGCAAAGCCTACGAAAAGAGATTTGGGGGTGTGTGTGGCTCAGTTGGTAGAGCACTGAACAATGAGCAAAAGGTGTCAGGTACCAGGTTCGAGTCCAGGTCTTGGACTAAAAAGAAAAGAGATTCTGGTTCTTTCTAAACTGTGGCAGTTTGCCACTCATTTAATTTCAGTTTGTCAGTCAGTTAATGTCAATTGTCTCTCAGTTTCATGAAAAATTTAAAGACGTGGTTAAAAAAAAAAGGTCCTTTCTGAATTTTGTGGAACAGTGTAAAATTATTTATTGTTGAATCTAGCTCTGGAAAGAGAGCTCCTGCAGGGTCTTGAAACAGGAGTACTACAGACTCTGGGCCCATTCCTTCTTTACTTTGCATTGAACTGAAAAGATCTGTCCTTGACATTTTGGGGTTCGATATTTTCCTCTACTCCTTAGCCAATTAAAATCCAAACTTGTTTCTTAAAAACCAAAAATTAAAGTTTTTGGCTTCGATGGAGCATAAACTTGGGTCTTTAAATTTTCTTTCTCCAAGAAAATGACATCCTCATTTTATTTAGTAGCATAGAATAATATTTCCCACATTCCATGATCCTTATTATAAACTGCTGAGCAATTTTGAACTTATCATACCGTATTTCAAGAGTTCCTGAGGCAGGGTGGTTTCCATATTATTTTCAACACTTGAGGGCTATGGAATTAAACAGGAACGAGAAACCCTGTGTGCCACCCCCTTTTCAGAGAGCATTGGTTTACAGCAGAACGTTGGGGTTGTGAGCTCTCCAATGCTGAGTACAGAAACACGTCTGTTCTGCTTTGCTTAGTATTTCACATGCCATTTGGTCAGCGTTGCTTGTTTTTGTAGAATGTCAGTCCTGAGGAATGGACTTTCTCAGATGTTTTTGATCACTGAAGGGTAGAGTGATAGCTTTGGACGGTATGGTGATAACTTTGGCAAGAGGACAGTAAGAGCAATAAGCAAATAGGATTTGTCTTGAATAATACTGAGCTCTTAGTTTATTTCCCTGAGGTTTTAGAGAGGAGAGGATATTTGAATTCTGGTAGTAGGTCATTGAATCAGAAATCTGGGCCTTCGTCCCTTCTGGATGGCACTGAGCAAAGGAATACAATAAGGAAAGGGAAATGGTATCTTAGAAAAGCAGCTGTGGTTAGATGAGAAGTCTGTGGGAATTTGTTATGCAAATCACGTAGAGTATGATAATGTCACGTATTGTACACAGAAGAAGCTAGGACAAGTCTGCTCTGTTCCACAGCACGCAAGGTCTTTTATTTTGAGGAACTGTGTGATTTTCCCTTCCCTTTAGGTGGATTAAAGAATGAGACATTCGATACTTGTACACAGGGCTGACAGCCCCTCTAGACCCCAACTCGGACTCGGGGGGTCAGGTGGGGCTTGGGAAGCACAGAGAGGTTCTTTTCCTTGCTTTGGAGATAGAATGTGTAGAGTGAGACAAAAGATATTTGAAGAAATGCATGGAGACTTTTATTTTTCTGAGTCTCTCTGCATTCCAGAAGCTTCCATTTGGCCATACTCCTAGTTTTAAAACTGAAGGTAAGAATTATGATCTATTTAAGATAAATCTGTTTGACTAGGTCATTCTTGAAGTCTCACTGCTTTCTCCAAAGTCTCACCAACCTGCAGAACAATCCAGTAGTTTCCCAGGATTTATGATAAGCAAACCTCAAACCCTGAGTGGTAGAGGGGAAGGTTTAGAACGTGCACTAGAAGCTGACAGAAAGGTCAGTGTTGCATCTGAGATTCTGCTGGCCTCACCTGCAGCCATGGTGTTAGGAACTCACCTCTGAGGAAGCGGCCGGTGACCGCGCTGGGTTTCCTACCCGGGCAGTCTCAGACACCAGTCTGGTGACAAATAACAAAACCACACTGGGCACTCGTTGGCTCTTCGTGTGCCAGAGGCGCTGCCCACCTGAGGAAGGGGGATGGAGGCCTTGCAGAGAGGGTTTTAAGTCGTTGCTGCTATTTTATTTTATTTTTTAAATTTGAAGTAAGTGTAACACAATGTCAGTCTTCCACAATCTTGGTCTCTGGTGATTTTCTGTTGGGTTGGGGGTGCTTTCAGGTTGGGGAGGGCCTGTGGTTCCATCTGCAGCCCCCACCCCCTTGAAGAAAAGTCATCTCCCGTGACCAGTGGACCTCCAGCCTGTGCTGACTCCGTGTGCTCGCCTTGTGAGGTGATTGCACGGGCACATTACCCTCAACTTGAATCATATGGACCAATTTCCATGACTCTGTTGTCTAATGGTGGTTATTGACTTTCAACTTTGTTTTTTCTTTTTTTTTCTTTTTTTACTTGTGTTGGTCCTGGAGCTTGAACTCAGGGCCTGAGAGCTGTTCCTGAGCCTGTCTGGCTCAAGGCCAGTCCTCTATCACTTGAGCTACCATAGCGCTACTTCCTGACTTTCAACTTGTTTATTTTAAGGAATTATGCACACAAAGCACTGTTTTATTTTTGCACTTTGTTTTTTGTTTGTTTGTTTTTAGACTAGTAATCAAATCAGCTGCCTGTTGTTTACTAAATCTATAGGCTCTGTCTTCGGTAGCTGCTCCTGCTCTGAATTTACTCTAGACCTGCATTATCTCCTCCATGGCCTCCTTTGCTTTCATATTTCTGGCAAAGCTCATGAGCAGGATCCCAATGCAGAATTCATGGTTTTTTGTTTTTTCCATACCGGCTTTTCTACCTGAGGTTTCCAGTCCTTCCTTCCTTCCTTCCTTCCTTCCTTCCTTCCTTCCTTCCTTCCTTCCTTCC